TTGGGGTTTGGAACCGCTAGCCGATGTTGTGACCTCGACCGTAGTGCTCTCTGGGTTTTGTGTGGGGAAAGGCGGTCCCTCAGGTATGTTGGACCCTGGCCATATAGGGCTTTAAAGGTAAGTACCAGCACCCTAAAGCGAATTCAGTATGCTAATGGCAGCATACTATTATCTAGGGAGGCCCATCAAAAGCCTGGCCGTGGCATTCTGCACCAGGTGCAGCTTCTGGATTTGCAACAAGGGTAGCCCCATGTACAGAGCGTTACAGTAGTCTAATCTCGAGGTGACCATCACATGGTTCACTGTAGCCAAGTCATCACGGTCGAGGAAGGGAACCAACTGCCGAACCAGCCTGAGATGGTAAAATGTTGATCTGGCAGTGGCTGCCACCTGGGCCTCCATAGTCAAGGAGAGATCCAGGAGCACTCCCAAACTTCTCACCTCTGGCGCTGGCACCAATGGTGCCCCGTCGAAGGCCAGGAGAGGGATCCCCATTCCCGGACCACCCCGACTCAGGCACAGGACCTCCATCTTCACTGGGTTTAGTTTCAGCCAGCTCAGTCTAAGCCAAACAGTCACGGCTTGCAATGCCTGGTTCAGATCTTCCGGACTGGAGTCCGACTGGCCGCCCATCATCAGATAGAGCTGGGCGCCCATCTTGATCCATCTTGCGTTGGGTTTTCATCTTTTCCTACTGTCCTCAACTTTTCTTCTCACAATGAAGACATCTTTGCAGATGACCAAATAAGAGCCCAACTGGCCAATACCCATTGTCAGATGGTAACCAAAGACCTTCTGCCAACAGGATGGCTCATTATACAATAGCTAGTGACTTATCAGGAGAGTATTGATCTGATGAATGAGGGTATGAGAAAGTCTGAGACAGCTGGTCCCCAGAGGTGAACCAGGCAGCTCAAGATTTCTCTCTTACTCACATGGCGAAGTGGTTTGCAAAGGCAAGCGATGGCTGGCTCTCTATCATGTGCCTCTAAAAATGGACTGTACAGGGAATGAATAAATAAATAAGCTAATGACTGACGGTTGACCTCAACCAAATCTTCTACCAACAGGATGGCTCATTATACAATAGCTAGTGACTTATTTGATCTGATGAATGAGGGTATGAGAAAGACTGAGACAGCTGGTCCCCAGAGCTGAACCAGGCAGCTCAACATTTCTCTTACTCACACAGTGAAGTGGTTTGCAAAGGCAAGTGATGGCTGGCTCTCTCTACCATGTGCCCCTAAAAATGGACTGTACAGGGAATAAATAAATAAATAAGCTAATGACTGATGGTTGACCTCAACCAAACAGAAATTCCTAAGAAAAGCCAAAGTATGTCTTTGGTTTGTATAGCTAAATGAAACCTAGCGAGTAACACCTAGCCCTAAATCCCTCGAGGGGTAAAAAATATCAGTGGATATTAGTAACCGGTGGATGCCCTTTCAACAGGAAATCCCAAAATCCCTGGTTTCCACTCCAGTCAACAGGAAAACCTTTTAAACTCTAGGCAAGACAACAGGATGGAAAGAGGACACCCAAAGACAGTGATTTGGTTGCTATTTGTTATGTGTACCCAGTAAGAACACTGATCTGAATGGCCCAGGCTACCCAGTCTCATTAGATCTCATCAGATGGACGGGAGACCACTGGGGGAAATCAAGGGTCACTACACAGAGGCAGGCAGTGGCAAACCACCTCTGGACATCTCCTGTCTAGAAAAACTCAAGGGGTCACCATTACTCAGCTGCAACGCGACAGCACTTTTTACCACCACCACCACCAGTAAGGACTCTCTTGTGATGCCCTTGCTTCCCAGCTTCATATAGGAGGATATGACGGGTCCTAAGAAGCTGGACGAACAATGCTCCATACAGGATGCTGGGGGGGGGGGGGGGGGGG